GGATTTGGCGAGGAACAGCCGCGGAAAGAGCGCGCCGCCAGCCGTTCAACCCTCATCTTCACCCCGTAGCGCCTTCAAAAGTGGTTGTAAGTAATTTTTAAGGTCAGAAATGAAAAATACGCGGAAAATTACATAGAAGAACATGTAATGGGTGACAACTAAACGATGATTAGGCGAGGAACAGCCGCGGAAGAGCGCGCCGCCAGCCGTTCAACCCCTATTTTCACCCCCTAGCGCCTTGAAAAATGGTTGTAAGTAATTTTTAAGGTCAGAAATGGAAAGAACGCAAAAAATTGCATAAGAAAACATGTAATGGGTGACATCAAAACGAAGATTTGGCGAGGAACAGCCGCGGAAAGAGCGCACGCCAGCCGCTCAACTCCCCCACTTCACCCCCCTGTATCTCCGAAACCGCTTTTTAACTCAAGCTGAAATTTTTACCTGAGACTTGGGGCATCATATGCAACAATTTGGCGCAAGTCCCGTTTGCAAAATCGAGGGCCGAAAAAGGGGCGAATTTCGACCCATTTTTAACAAGGCTCTTTCACAGTTCCTACATCACTCCAATTTGAACCTTGAGGCAACAACTGAACAGGAGGTTGCCAAGGGTGGGATTTTAGCTAGTTCCTAGATGAGACGTCCACTGAAAATTTGGCTAAAACATACAGCCAGTTTGCAAATTTAATTAAAGGCAATTTTCCTCGAAGGAAACTGAATATAAAAGTTTATAGCACAACAATTATCAATTGTCTCCATGATTATACATATGACTTCAGACTCGATGACTGGAAATAAAATGGATCGATTAAAATATTGCTTCAAAAGCAAGGATTCTTCCCTAGAGACACATCATTACCTGATGAGTATAGGATGCAGGAACTTCCCCTGAACATTTTATGGAAGAAATTTTTGCGAGGTGAAATTCCAAAATTCCACCTCACAAGCTTGAGGCATCTCACCAGATTCCTTCAACCATATACAACAGAGATTTGAATTGACTATCATTGTATTTTGCTTTTCACCAGATTCCTTCAACCACATACAACAGAAATTTGATTTGACTATCATTGTATTTTGCTATTTTCAGGGTGGAAGACCTTAGTTTTAAGGACACGCTATGAACATGCTGAATACATAATTTGCTGAAGCAGTAGCTACCTCAGGGACTGGGACTGTGGATGTCTGTATTTTTAAGAGTTCTTAGACCATGAACAAAATCTGCGATGATCTACCAAAAAGCGTGACAACAATAATTTTCTAGTTTGTGATAATCGGTTTACCAGTTCTACATTTAAAATTTAGTCTGTTTCTGGTCCATGTTTTACTATTCTTTACACTAATTCAAAATCCCTGAAAAGGAGAATAAGGTATTTTGCTCCTGAAAAAAATACTGACAAAAAATAATTTTATTCCCTGACTATCATGTGTGAAAATGTACGAGTCTAGGTACTTAAAAGTAAAAACTTGTGAAGAAACTATGGAAAGCTCAGCTAAAATATATCATGAGTACAATAATTCATTGAATTGTTAAAAGTCTAGAAATTAAAATATAATTTATGGAACTAATGATAAGAACCACAATATCCATTCGTAAAACTATGACTCCATCGAATAAAATTATGCAGTGATAGTAAAATTTAACATTTTCGATTAAAAAATTTGTAAAAGTAACATTAAAATTTACACTTATACGAGTGTTAAAAACAGAATTCAGTACAGATATCTCAAAAAAGGGAAGCAATTGATTATTAATATTTCTGAACAAATTAAGCTTATGTGATGTTGGTTGAGAAGTAGTTCCACTCTAATTTGAGCTTCATGATCCAGATTCTAGAGATCAATGAAATGAGGCAGGATTCTGAAGGAATGCTTAGTTTCTGCTTTCCGACCTTTCAAAATCTGATGGGTCAGGAGAACCGTCATTTCGATGTACACCATGATGAAAATAATCATTGTCAATTCAAGTAAAATACCATCAAGATGTTAAAATATTTCAGTTTATTATGGAGAGAGGGCCTCTTCACTATTTTGGTTTCTTACGATGTCTCCTGCGAAAAAAAAGGAAGAAATTTTATGAAAGAAAATGTTATTGTGCATCATACGAATGACAGGAAATTTTAGCTCAATCAAGGAATTATTTTAAATTAGGCTTTGATCCCTGGCATTTGGCTTTCATAACTCGTGTAATGTCTGTTTCTCTGCTGAAAGATAATTTCTATTCTTCTAGCTTGTAATAATTTCTGGGCATACATTGTGTTTTCATTGCATTCTAACTTCAATGAGGTTTGCAGCCCTAATCAAGTCAGAAAATTAGGTTCGCACTTGGAAAAGGTTGTGGGATAAAGGAATGAAATAGTCATCGAAAAGTGGAGTATGAGGAGAAATTACTGGCTAGGATAAAAAAAAAAATCGTACAAATGGAAAATAAATGCAGTGCTATACAAAAAAAAAAAAAGTGTTGATGGGTAGAGAATAGAGAGGAAAAAGAAAACAGAGGAGCTAAAGATAGAAGTCAACAGTTTGTATTTCAAAAGAATAAGAAAAATAACAATAACAAAATGAAGAAATGTAAATTATTAGTTTTAAAACATTGAAAAATTGAAAGGTCAGGAGGTAGAGATGCACAACACAAAACTAAAAATAAAAGCATGAAAATGAAAGTTGATTACATAGCAAATTCACAAACCAAGATGGAAGAGAGGAGACAAGGAAAAAACAGTCGAAGAATAAGGCAACAAGACAAAGAGAACAAAAAAAATCTTTACAACACAGTTTGATCATTTGAAAATGGAAACAGATAAATCAAGAATAGATCAAGAGTTTGAAAAAGATTGGAATGCAGAAAGGGAAGGCTGACTGAGAAAAATTTCTGATTATTTTTTACTAAATTTTTCATGAAATCGCACTTAATTTTTAGCATAATTTACTCATTTGTAACTATGCATTGTGCCATCCTGTTAGAATTGAAGTTAAAGAAGATAGAAACAGCATACATAAAGCCAATGTCACCTTCATGAAATCTTAGAAAATACAGTATTTTTACAATAAATTCGTATTTTTTTATTCCTGTATGACTTACGTGATATTCACAGTGGAATAATTTGCAATTTTATTATTCTGCGCATTTAGTACATCACTTGAGCCCTACTTTATGTAAACAAACTTATTTCCTCTTTGCTCACAATAGTTGAGAATACCATGACCTTTTCTGAATTCTTAAATTATCTTATATTAAATTATAGTCTATTTATGGGTGATTTCACGATAACTGGAATAGTTTTGTCACTGTACAGACAACATATTTTTAGTAGTAATGATAACCACTCGAATTTTTTTGCATAATCTACACAGGATTATGTTTTATAACGCTTTGCAACGATTTATCGCTCTAATTTTCAATTTTAATATAAAAATGGCCGAAAATGTGCTGTATGTTACGCTGACTTTTTACTGCGTAACAGCACATTTTCGGAATTTATATTATAGTAAGTGAGAAGTAGAGCAATAAATCTTTGAAAAGTGTTATAATACGTAACTCTTTGAAGATTAATGCAAAAAATTCGAGTGATTATCATTCCTACTCAAAATATGACTGAAAAATGTGTTGTCTGTTGCGGCGACAAAACTATTCCAGTTATTGTGAAACCACCCTTATGTTGTTTTCATTCCACTGGTCTTAATCTTACTGTCTTCTTACTACCTTTGCATTGTTGTGCTTTTTGTAATTGGGTTTGCACGTTGTAAATAAATAAAATAAAGTCTAATTTAAGTTAAGAGAAAAAAACAAATTAAACTATACCCTTACTAAATAGTAATGAGATCACAAAAAATTGTTTATTTAAAGTTCACGCAAAGGATGCTGTGAAAAAAAAAAACCAAAAAAAAAAAGGAGGGGCAGGATCAATTTTCAATTTTAAAAGAAGCAAAGCGATTTGGAAAATTTACTTCTTTTAGAGAAGGTGACAGTAAATTCTTGCTAAATAAAAATCCCCCCTGATAAAACAATAAAACTACTTTGGTTGTACGTGTTTTTTTTGGTTCATTAACATCTCCACAAAAAAATTTCAAAAAGTATAACTCAAAACAGATATTCAGTTACTTTTGTAGAAGAAAAACCACTTGCCTCCATAAAAAATGTACAAATTTGGACCAGGAAATATTAAAAAAGAGGAACAAGAGGCACATGCATGAAGTAAGGGAAGATAGATAAGGCATGTGCTGCTACCTTTAAATCCCATTATGTTTAATAACTGCAGTTTTAATGTAGCGATAAAGAACCCCACTTTCAAGTATGAACTCTTCTAAAACTTAATTTCACTAGGTTTCAACAATTACATATTATATGAAAATTCTGAACTTTGATTTTAATTTAAGTAAGAAAATAATCCTTATGCTATTTGAAGAGAATTTAACAAATTAAGATTAAAATTTATAATGAGAATTTGTTTCCCTCATTTAAGGAAGAAAAGAGAAAACCTAAAATTTATGTTTAAAACCTGATGTAACTGTAACTTTAAAGACAGATAGGTATATACTGATGTGAAAACCAGCCACAGAATGACTATTTTGGTTGAAAACGTTAGAACAATAAAAACTTAAGCAGCAAAACCGTTAAGCCAAGAAGCCACCGAAGTCAAATTTTCTTTGGTCTCTTAAATTTTCTACTGAACACGCTTTCATAGTATTTATATTGATCAGTGCATGTCAATTTTCGAAATTAGAAGAAAGGAAAAATGTGGTTTTGATATTTGTTGAAAAATCAAACTTGAATTTTTGAATTAAGAGTAGATAATTTTAAATGCCTTATCAGGAAAAAAACAGTGGTGGTGAGCAATTGCTCTCTTGTAAAAAAAAAAGAAAAAATGTGAGAAAAAAAAACAAAATACACAAAAGTAAACAATGGTGTGTGCTTGTAAAAAGGTTCGAATTGAGCGAACAAACTTAACTTTAAAAAAAAAAAGTTACATAGCAAGCAGACCCTTCATATCCTCTTGGAATGCCTTGTCAAAATTTTGAAAAGAAAACTGATCAGTCAGACAGTGAGAAAAACAATGAATAGGATCACAACTATTGTAACCTTTGTAACAGGAACTAGAACATAGAACAGGGTCTTGGAAACCACCACAGAAATAGCTTGGGTTGGACGTACCAGTTACTTTGTATTTTGTCAGTCTTTCTTGCTCAGGGACAGTCTGTTCTTCATTCGATGAATCTACAAATCTAGTGAGTGTTAAGGCTATCGATCCAATAATAGGAGGGATGCCCGCCACAATAAAAATAAAGGTGTAAGAGTAATTAAGATCACAAAGGTACCCTGAAAAAAAAAACCAGAGGACAAACATTAAAATTTTGTTGCATTGAAACTCAGTAACAATCAATAAACTAGAGGTTTTTAAATTTGAGGACCCACAAGGGCAGGTTATTTTGAAATCAACATGAGCGCCTCTTTCACAGATTGAATGGGCGAATGCTCTGTCAATCTTTGCATTACGAAAAATGAATATTTCCTCCAAAAGATTGTTCTTTTACCAAAAAGAACGAATTATTGGCTGATTTAATTGCACTTTTTTTCATTGTTTCTCCAATTTGTAGGAGTGGCACTTATATCAATTGATTATTAAAACGTTAATTTCATGAAATGATAGATAATCAGAACCTCTGAGAAGTTAGAATGGTAAATTCGGTTTTAATCAAATTCTACCAGAAAATTGAAATTTGAAAATCTCTGGACCTTTCTAAGTGAATAGGAAATACTCAGGCATTAGAGGCATTACAATCATCCATATTCAAACCCAAATCTTTGCCTTGTTGCCTGGAGTACACCGCAAAGAATTCTAATGTATGATATCAAACCTCCTCATTTATTTCATCCCTTATCCAAGTATTCACTTAATCAGACATGTCAAAAATTAGTGGCCAAAATCTTTGTGTTTGCCAGATCAATTGTTAAAAGGTTGGGTAAGTCAATTTTTGTGTTATGACGTAATCATTTCTTCATTTCATACCTGCAACAGTGGGTCCCAACGTTAATGGCACAGAGCATAAACCTAACAAGAATCCGATTGCTTGGGCAGCTCCTGACTGACCGCAAAAATCGAATGCAATCGGTCCGAGAAGACTGATAAAGCAACCATCGAAAAGCCCAAAAAGGAACGCCATTCCTATGAGCCAATTAAAGTGAGGAACAAACGGCATGGCAATTGTGGCAACACCGATCATGAAGAAGGAGATCTGTGAACGTAATGAAAATAAAAGACAAGGATAAGCCACAATCAAATGATCTTCACAACAACGCACTTGATTTAGAGTAAAGCGACGGCAGTGATAGTAATATTGGGAGATGGACTTTTGATTGACAACATATCTTGGCATGTAATTTTCTGAGAAAAATTCCTTTGAATAATCATCTATGTTGTTTAACAACTCGATTGTTTGAAGTTGTTATTATTGATATTACTGAAAATGTCTTTCTCCATTGAAGCATTCATCCACTGAAGCATTGTACATAAAAGTTGATATAACTTTGGCTCACCCAAAAAAAATTGACCCTGATTAAGTATGTTGATAATTTTCAATCATTTGTAGATGGAAAAAATATTCCTCGGCAAAATATTCCTGATGCGTACTTTCAGAGTTTGAAATTAGGATCTTCGGTAAAATATTAAATTTTGAATTCCCTACTTCCAAAAACTTTAGACAAGTACAATGGGATCAAGTCATTGTCAACATTGAAAAGAAACCAAGATATCACCCACATTTCATTGACAACATTAAAAGTAGGGTTTGCCATAATATGCAAAATTACATCAGCCTGTCACAGGGCACAAAGCTGACGACGGGAAATCAAAAGGTATTTAAAAGTGTGCTTTTATACGTGCTATAAACGTTTTTGATACCTTCAGATTCATCAAGAAAAAGCTCTAAATTACATGTTTATTGCAGGAGAAAAAACTGTAGTTTCAAGTAGGGTAGGTATGAGTACAAAATGCTGCCCTCATTGAGTATTTGAGCAACTGGCAAAAAAGTCGACAAATCTTTAGTCCCTGTGGATTCTGGAAAAGACGATTTTTTGATCATAAGTTGACTAAAGGGTGTAATCATTTTAAAAAAATCTAAAAAAATTTAAAATACTGACATTGTCTCTAGATTGAATGAACAAATTAAATTGGATCGATAGAATCTTCCTAAAAACCAATTCTTAGGTACATCCTTGGAAGAGACTCAGAAAATATGCTGTAACTTATTCACATCTGCCAAAAGGGATTACAAGGCGTCACTCCTACTTTCACTTAAGTGGATAATAATCCACATTTTCTAGGGGAGAAAAAGTGTGGGAGGTGCTTACTTGTTGTAGAACAATTCTATTGGCCCACTTCAAACTAGCGATGGCTCCAAAAATGAGACGACCAACACCAGAAGTTATTCCTATACATGTTATCACTATCTTAGTATCATCTCTATTATCAGGGAATTCCTTCTTGATGAATGATGCCTGAAAAAATATATCAAAATTAAAAAATTAAAATAAGTCTTTCTTGAATCTTTCTATCAAAGTCTAGAAGCCTTTCATGATAGGAAAGACTAGAGGTGAAATGGGTGTTATTAGTCTTTGGAGCAATTGACTATGCGTTTGTTTTTGCACACCCATTAAATCAAAGAAACTACTCTTTGAATGATGAGAATTTTTAATGTCATTGATGAGAATTTTTAATGTCATTGATAAGAATTTTTAATATCATTGACCTGAGTTCTGTTAAGAATAATTCTTGATACTTTGAGAGTGTGACTTAATTTCATTCAGTTGATAAATTCAAGTCATTTTCAGTTGACAAATAGTTTGTCAAGTCTTCCTTCAAATTCTAGCCTCCTCTTCATAAGTTCTTGCTATAAAAACTGGCTGCTGAATAGGCTTCTTCATGTGCTTGAGGAGAACTAATGCACCAACCAATGCGCTGAAAGGTCAACACTTGTTGACAGGAGGTGGTCTCAGTAAAATTGAGTTTTCTCACAAGTCCTTTAACTGATTTTCCAAAATCTTAGACTTGATTTAAAGCTGAGAATTTGTTCAATATCTGTGTTTTTACAATTTTTATCTCTACTGATGGAGAATATCTAAATTTAGGGACCTTACATAATAGATGACTCTTAAAGATTTGATGCCTCACAATATCTACTTACCATATGCAGGTACGGGACAAAGTAGCCAAGTAAAGAAAATGCAATAAGTAAAAGCCATATCACATATTTTTTATTCTTCCATATATCACGATTGACTAGATAAAGGAGTTCTTTTGATAAGCTCAATTCTTTCTTGATGACTGCTTTGTTTGGTTTGAAAGCAAAGGAGCAAACCATGAACAAACACATCATTAGTGCAATAAATCTGAAAGAAAAGATAAAGGAAATTAAGAGAGGGTGGAAAAAAAGATTTACTTGCAGGTCTATCTAACATTAAAGTTGGGCTTTGACTTGTTTTCCACATAAAATTTTTGTGTCTTCATAACAGTTAAAAGGTTTTTCAACTCATACCTTATTCTTGCTATCAATACATAAAGATTAATTGTATCACATATGGACAAAGCCATTTGTTATTTACAATCTTTATGGCAAAAGAAAAAAAACATTTTTCCAAACAGTCAAAGACAAATGAAGGTAGATGGTATAAAATTTGAAGATTTTGACAATGTGTGTCTTGATAATCAATGCTTGTCGATAAGCAATCATTGATGAGATCTGTCCAAATGCCAAATTTTCAAGTCCAATACTCACACAGGTATCGCCCATTGAAAAATACAGCATAAGAAATCATTTACTGCAGTAGTACATACCATGGTTTCTCCTGCCTTGAATTAATCCGTGTTCAACCTCAAGCAACCAGTGTAAATATGGGCATCACTGATTGATGAAACCGGGATGGACGACACATAGGATGAACAAACGCGGTGGATAACGTCGTACGCTGTGTTTTTAGGAGCGATACGTCCGTTAGCATAGGATGTAAACATTTAAATAGATCTTATTGTTTTTTGCTGACTTAAGAATTAAAACCATCAAAACACGATTCTGTTACAAGCGCAACTGACCCACTGAGAAATTGCTCGAAGTTCAATGATATGGAAGGACTTGAAAATTCAATGAAAAATTTAAAAATTTCAAGAACTTCTCAAGAGGCGACGAATCCTGCTTATGTTTCAATTTTTGATTAGATGCTACTCGTCGATTTACTAATTTTCAAGTTTCAAATCATGCAAACATATTCCTGCAAGGAACAAGAGTGGGTACTGCATTAACAAGAAGAATTAAAACAAATTTCAATCAAAGAGCAGTTTTTAAGTTTACCTTAGTGCACCATTAAGTTTAAAAGTACTCAGCAGGAATGGAAGGAGAAATGACATGAGCATTGTGAAGGCTGAGCTACCAGCAGTTACAATTCCATTTACTATGTCTAGGTTTCTTTTAAAATATTGCCCCAGGATGGCTAGTGAAGGAGTGTATGTCAGAGAGGCACCGACTCCAAACATGATTCCATAAGTGAGGCAGAGCAAATAAAACTGTTGACAGGAAAAATAATTCATATTAGTAGAAGTTTTTAACAGCAGAGTTTTCAAAAGAAGAGGTTTACCAACAATGACGTGCAATACAGTCACTTGCTTGATGAGTATTCAGACACTAAGTGTAACTGAAATTTGAATTGTCCAGTTCAAAGCCCCATTTTTGTTTTTCCTCAATTGGAACTCGAAGTTATTAATTTTGTGCAGCCGTTCGATCTTTTTCTTTCAGTTGCCTTGATTTCATCTATTTGCTCGACCAGATCTATTTATTTTCTAACAATTAGACTAATAATAACTTAACTTCCTCCAAAACAAGTTTTTGAAAATGTTCAACTGTTGGCGCAAGGAAAATTTCTTTGATAAATAATGCATTCGTCGTAAATTTTATTTTAGTATTAATTATTTTACAGTTGCTTAATTTTTCCTAATAACATCACCTGTTCAGTGAGAAAAGAAGATAGAAAGACTCCTCCAGCTGCCAACGTTCCACCAATAAAAGTGGTTAGGCGGATCCCAATTCGGTCCGTCAAGATCCCAGCAATTGGTGAGAGGAAAAAAGTTGCTCCCATACACAATGATGTTACAAGGGCTGTAAAAAAAGAATGAAAGAAAATTTCCCGTAAATAAAAATTAAAACTTTAAAACATGTCATATAACGATTGCTGATCTCTGAAACAATTTATCTTGGTTTGCAATGTAACTGATTTCCCATCATACTTTTTTTTTAAAGGTGAACTTTTCAACATAGCCAAAATAAATAATTTTTCTTCTCCCCGATGGAAGTGAACAGTGACAAGTTCGGCTCCTTTTCTTTTGGAAAAATTGATAAGGAACAAAAAGTTTGTGACTTCACGACTGAAATAGGTATGCGTTATTCCCGAGTTCAGCCATTGAGTGGTGTGCGTACTGCACACAATGGAATTCCTTAACGCCTTCAATAACGAAGGCTGCAAAACGTGTAACGATTGGATACATGGATATTGTTTCGCATATACGCACCTACAGAGCTAGGCCGCACAGTAAGCGGCATATTTTAAACACACATCTAGGAAAATAAAGTTTTAAATGTTCGTAACCTTTTTTTTTTTTTTTTGTCAGAACTCACTGGACTTCATTATATTTATGAAAAATTTAAAGAACATCGCCGTCAGGAGTTGAGTTTCCAGCTTGGATTTAGCACTTTTCGCATAGTCTACGGTAAGGAACAAAAACAACTAATTTGTCGTTGACAAATCTTTACACAATTTGTCCCAAACTGCCCTTATCAGGGCCGGATTTAGGGGGTGGCCACACGGGCCGCGGCCCATAGGGGCAAATTTAGGGGGGCGGCAAATTTTGACTTTTTTTAAAACGTACGTTTTTTCCGTTTAATCCGATTTTTTACACCTAGGTGTAAAAAATCTGATTCAGAAAAAAATTGCAAACGAGAAAAGGCGACAAAATCTCTCATTTCCTGAGAGTATAGTAAATTCTAATTTTGTCGTCTTTCGGCGATACAAGAGGCAGCACCTTTAATTAGTCGCGTTAAGAGAGAAACCAAGCACCCAATTTGGCCTGGAACGGCGTGGCGCAGAGTGAAATGATGACGAGGACTTGAGATTGAGAGGAAAAGCCCTCGGCGCGGCGGTCGGCGCGTTACACATATTAGCGCCTACAAGACTGCCTGAATACTTCACGCATTGCGTCAAACATAGTGCGGTCAGCAGCGGTCGGCGGGAAACGCATGGCGCCTACAAGAGTGCATGAATACTTCACGCATTGCGCCAAATACAGTGCGGTCAGCGCGGCGCGGCAGCGGAAGTTAAAATTATTAAACCACATTTATGTTTTGCACATTCTTTTGCAAAAAATGTGTCCAACACGAGTAACCGTGTCTTATGCAACACACCCCCTCCGGCACGTTCACTTGATGGTTTTTATTGAAGTTTCAGAACGAATGAGAAGGGGGCGGCAAAATACAGTCGGCCCATGGGCGGCAAGTAGGTAAATCCGGCCCTGGCCCTTATCAGGTTTTTTTCTCAGTTACTTTCGGTCGGTTGGTGTCTGGGAATGGCGGGGTTAGAGAGGGAATGGCTCTGAAGGGGGGCTAAGGGATCATGAAATCCGATTCCTGGGGTCCATTCCCTATTTAATTCCGAACCAAAACCTCGGTCGGTCGTATCGACGTTTGTCAACAACAGTCTTAATCCTCGAGTAACATTAACTAATGACAATGTGCCCCAAAACATAAAAAAAGATCGATTCAAGTTTTTTTTAATCGAAGAACTTCGAAATATAAACAATTTTTAAAGGGCAAATTTTACAATTTAATTTTTGAAAACTACACTCAATTAGAATTAAACAAGGCGGGACCTCTTATGCTATTATTTCAGTCAACATAAACAACGCATTCATCGTATTCAACCGATTACGTTGATAATAACGCCTTGATACAACTATTCGTGCTCTGTGGACACGCGTATTGCATAGGTCCTCAAAATTGAAGGCGCTCCGGTCACTCTAGTCCGCGAGGCAGTGGGCTCAGCAGCGTGAGGCGCACCGGTGCGAATATGAGGGCAATATGAAATTCTGATAGAAACCGAGGAGAAAGAACAAGAAAGGATATTTGTGCACCATTTTCACATACCAAAATATTATATCCCGATCCCGCAGCCACACAGAGTCGTGACAGCGAGTCGAGGCGAGAATGGGCTAGAATGACCGGAGCGCCTTCAATTCTTAGGACCTATGCAACACGCATGTCAATCGTGGAGGAAAACGTCGCATGAACACTCAAGCGTTGCCAAATTTCCTCCGATTAAATACGCATTCCTTGGAAAACTTTCGCCATCTCGTTTTTCAAAGTTTTAGAGAATTTTATGCGCAGTTTAACCCGATGATTCTGAAAGTTCGTGAAACCTTTTTGTCGACTTTCTGCAAAAACATCCGATTTCGCGCCTTTTGCTCTCAAAGTAACGACTGCTGCGCTAATTGGACCCCTTCCTTCACAAACTGACCTCCTAAAAGTTGAACCCTAATTTTTGACTCTACGGAATTGCATGCAGTTCCGATTTCACGGTGAAAATTTTTGGGTCAGTTTGATCCCGACCGGAGAACTGACCTCAGATGATAACCTTGTTGACGGTTGGCGAGCGATTGCAACTGGTATCATTTCCTGCGATGTGATTTACCTAAAAATAAAATGGTTTTGAGAAGATATCACAGGGTGTCTACTAAAAAGGCTGGTCAAAAATAAATACTTTTACAGTACTTTTTCAGCACATTCTTAAGAAATTCAGTACCACCCCCAACAGAAAAATTCCGTACTTTTTCAGTGCCCCATATGACGAAATTCGAAAAATTTCAAAAATTTGAAATTGTGACAAAAATAACAAAAAATTAGACAAATTCCGGACCTTTTTAAGGAATTTCCGCACTTTTTCAGTACTTCCGGACCACCCTTAAAAATCAGTACTATTTCCGGACTTTCTGGAAATTCCGGACTTGTAGACACCCTGTATCACTCCCACATATCGACAGTGAAACTGCAAAAACGCGGCGATGCTGTAAATTCTGGTCACAATTACTTTTTTAAATGGGCATATACTCAACGCCATCTCTTAAAAAACGTATTCTGAGTTCTGACTCTTCTCCTCTGTGTGAAGAATATTTTATGTGACGACCGAACGTGACGATTGACCGTCTTCTTTTGTGATAAAATAAAAAGAAGGCGGATATTTTAAAACACCTCAGTCGAGATTCACGTTTTTGTAGTTTTGGAGTCGATGTGCAGTCAGGAATTTAGAGGCAAAAAAAAAAAAAAAAAGGAGCGACCACGGTAGTTGGAACGATGCTAAGCACTCAATTCTTATTAGGTGAAAAATACATATTTTTCCTCCGCGGACGGCACGGCGCATGTAGAAATCGACTTCTGGAACTAGTGTTAGAAGCGACAAAATCTGCCATTGATTTTCCTATGACGATAGATGCTTATTAATGAGCTTGTAAAGTATAGTGATTCCTCCTAACGTGAAACCGTCCAACAATCAGTTTAACTGTAGCTTATGTTACCATTACCATTAGGTAATAGGTTGGAAAAAAAAAGTTGAACATGATAGGTATATCAGACGCATGTTCTGGCTGGAAATTGGGAGAGGAATAATGGTTGATAGGATGGAGGTATAAAGGTAACGCACGCTTTCATTTCGCCTTCAATTTTCGAGGTGGCCAGAAAACCTACTTCGAGCAGCAATCGTCATCTATTTCTGTCCTGTGTTGTCTACAAATCTTCCTCCGCAGTAAAATTATATCAATTCCGGTGTGATCACTTGGATGCTGACTCTATTTTTCATTCAAGTCTCTAGGTTTCCTACCAAAATATCTAATATGCTTAGTAGAAGACCAAAACCCATGACCGTTGCTACTTGTGATCGATTAATCGTTTTAACTTCGTTTTGGGACTGGTTGTTCAGTATGGACGGAGGGGGGGGGGAATAAAAAGCGCGGGATTAGCCCTTGTGGGCTACTTGAAGTGGTGGAAAAAAAAAAAGAAAAAAAAAGTTCGTTGGCACCGTTTATCGATATGAGCGCACATTCCGGGCCCGGTTTTGCTACACGAGACAAATTATTCCGTGGATATATACTTAAAATGTAAATATCCATCCCCACCGGTTGAACGGATAGCGTCCGGCAAGAGTAAAATATGTCTCGGTGACAATTTTCTCCCAGATCGCGTTACAAGAGACACGTTCATATTTTGCCCTGAATATAAACAGCAACTTTCTTATACCGTTTTGCCACATTTTACCTCATCTCTACCGATCTTTACGTATCACCGATATTCCGTCCGAGAGAGAACCCGTTCTTGCCTGACCCTTACGCGCAATACTGCCGTGCTAAGGAAGAACGCCGTGTGAGCCTTCAGGCGTTGCCAAATTTCCTTCAAGAAATCACAAATTTTCAGGAAAATTATGGATAATTTTCTTTCACTCTATCAGAAAATGTTGCTCGTGTTTTGTTCTAAAGAGCCTGGAAATGTCAATGAAAAATATTCATAAGTTTCTTCAGAAATAAATCTTTCCCGAGAGGCAATTTGGCAACATTCGAATGCTCATACGGCGTTTTTCCTCAGCACGGCAGAATAGTAGACTCGTCCCCTGCTAGGTACCGTATTTTTACAAAAGGTACAAAATTTGCAAAGGTACAAAAGTACACAAAGTTCCAAAAGGCTGACTATTTCTCGTGATCCGTGTGCCTCGCGGGCAAATTCCCGATCTGTCACTGAAAATGACCGATTTCATGACAAAATGTCCCGACGTTCCCACTTGTTTCAACTCTGCACAAAAAAATAAATAAAAATAAAAAAAAATAAGTGAAAAATAAAAGTAAACATAAAAAAAAAATAAAAAAATGAAATGAAATAAAATAAAAATGAATAGAAAATAGATAAATAAAAAATAAAATAAAAAAAATTAAAAGGGGGGACTAAACGGGAACTATTACTGATGGGAATTCCGGAATTAGAGTGAGATAAAGACAAATATGGGTCAAATGACAGCAAAAGAGACGGATATCTAAATTCAGAACTGGAGATCATTTCTGTAGTAGGAA